TGGATGCTATTTTAATGTCAGTTATTATAATGGCTCAACGGCATATCATGGTTTCAATTTTAGTTCGTTGGCAAAATATAACGCTAGACACCTTAATGTTAGGTTTTACATCCTTACATATCTGTGTTGGGGAAAGGGAGAAGACTGAGTTTGGTAAGGCGGATTCGAACTCGCGTTCAACGCATCATAAAGTTGCTTTCAAATACTTCACGCCCTACGACCTACGCCACTGAAACTTTTTAAAGACGGGTGTCGTTTTGCTGTAAAGACAGGCACTTAGTACAAATATATGCTCCGTTATAGAAAATGTAAAAAAAAAAAAAATGTTTTCTTCCCTTAGCTTGGGCCATGGCGAACTTCCAATAAATACATTTTATCAGACCGGGCCGGCCCTCGCGGCCTCGAAACACTACCGGCCCACCGGGAAAACTCCCGACTCTCCCGATTGCCACTCCGCTACTGATTATAACCTTAAAATGTCCAAAATTTTCTTGCCGGGGAGTATGCCCCCGAACCCCCCTAGAGGCACAGAGTCCTCCCAACATAGTTTTAGAAATTACTATGGGAAAGAACGACCATTTAATAACTTTACTCCAGCATACTAGTACAACAAAGTTCCTTTTAAATCAGTAAAATTGTAAATGCTATCGGCTATTAAAATCACGCCGGCGACGAGGGTCTACGAAATTTCCTGGTAGATTTTTTTGGTCCCACTCCGCCCCTGGATTTGAACTCAGGTCTTCTTGATTAAAGCCCAATGCTTTATCAATTGAGCCACTGAGTCTATTGAGTTCAAAAGTGTATGGAATGGGTTTTTATTGCGGGTTTGGTTTTATTTGTTGGAAAAAAAATATAGAGATATAATTTGACACAAGAGGGCAGTATAGCCCCATTTATGGTTTTGAGTTTAAACCGTGACATCTACACGTTTTCCAAAGTGGACCAACATGATTATTTCACGTCTTGTCGTGATACGGGTTGGGCACTGAAGTTACAGGAGTTTCTTCCCGTTGCTAAGCAATGGAACTAGGTCGAGTATTTAAAATGTTATGGTTAACACGGTTAACGTGGTTTAACGTCGATGTAATACGTTGTTTTAGAGTACCTTTTGCTTAAACGAGGAGCTGGGGGACGCCGGAAAAAGAGACATTTTACTCATTAGGCTGCTTCATTAAAAATGTGACATTTAGACGTTTTCTTCGGCGTGGATCCAGGCAAATGAATCCTTTTCACCTTGAAAATATTACTTTTTTTTTTTGGCATTTTAAATAATAGAACATTTCTAAGTGATCGTAAATAAAACAAAAAAATTCCATTTTTCTCGGTTTAAACAGATGTCGTTATGGCAGAGGCGAATAAACATCTGGATATCTCTCCACTGGAGTGTGTTAACGCAAACGTGTTTCATGTTTGAGGGGGTTAAACCGTGACATCTACACATTTTCCAAAGTGGACTATTTAGGCTGCTTCGTTAAAAACGTGACATTTAGACATTTTTTTCGGCGTGGATCGAGGCAAATTAATCCTTTTCACCTTGAAAATAATAAATGTTTTTTGCATTTTAAATAATAGACAATTTCTCAGTGATAGTCAATAAAACAAAATTCCATTTTCTCGGTTTAATGAAAACCAATAGGTCGTGATGGTAAGTTTGAGTTTAAGTGTAAGTTTCACGTTTGAGGGGGTTTAAACCATGACATCTACACGTTTTCAAAAGTGGACCAACATGATTATTGATACGGGGTTGAAGAAATGTTGTCTTGGCCAGTTTGTTTGATATAATCACAACAATTTAACGTAAGCAAGAACGGGATTTGAACTCAGGTCTGCTTGATTGAAGCCTAATGCTTTATCAATTGAGCCACTGAGTCTGCTGAGTTCAAAGGTGTATTGAATGGGCTTTATTGAGGGTTTGGTTTTATTTGTTGGAAAAATAAATATAGAAATATAATTTGACACAAGAGGGCAGTATAGCCCTATTTATGGTTTTGAGTTTAAACTAAACCGTGACATCTACACGTTTTCCAAAGTGGACCAACATGATTATTTCACGTCTTGTCGTGATACGGGTTGGGCACTGAAGTTACAGGAGTTTCTTCCCGTTGCTAAGCAATGGAGCTAGGTCGAGTATTTAAAAGGTTATGGTTAACACGGTTAATGAGGTTTAACGTCGATGTAATACGTTGTTTTATTGTACCTTTTTGTATCAAACAAAGTGGCCAAGAGTCTTTATAATTAGACTCTTATAGCCTATATTTCAAGTTTTAAGGGTATCTCGTGTGAAGTCACCTTGACTCCAAAGTGTTCTCTTTGATGACAATATTGAACAATGTCTCCCAGACAAGGCAAGAGGAAGCCATGCAGGCTGTGAAACAGGTTACAGCACTCTCCTTGTCAGCACACATTATCTAAATGCACCTCCTCATAGTTGACAAGTTACCAAAAAAATAAAAATACTGCAACCTCAAAGGTCACAATCACCCACGCTGCCAGACAAGATCAATAGGTAATTAACTCAGCAATAGGACCAGTTAATCTTCCTTTACTTTTTACCTGAGCTACACAGATCAAATTCTTCTGATTATTTTGTCGATCCTTCTGCATCCTAAAAGATGGAGCTCATTCACTCTCAATCGTTACAAAAGTAGCTATTGAAGGTGATCAAATAATGTAGACATCTGATGGTGTGATTTAACATCATGTTATCACATTCACTATTAAAGATTGTTCATATTTCCTGTAATGTTACTTCAAGGTACATTAATCTTTATCGTTTGACTGAATGCACCTTCTGTGAGGTGAACTGGATAAGATGTTTATTGGAAATTGTAATAAAGATCTATGATTAGGCATGTGCTGCTATGCAAGCCTAGGTTTTATAATGAAGGTTTCAATTCTCATTGCTCTGACTATGAGGTTTTGGCATAAACCTCATTATAACCTAATCAGTTGAATAACCAAGCAAAAGGGAATGAATACATCCTGTGTAAAGTCATTAACATTCATTAATGTCCATTCAGCACATGGAATGGGTTTTAACACTCTATTTAATTGCTTGCTAATATGGCCTCTGCAGGGAGGCAGAGAGAGGACAGGGATATAAAATCCAATATGAACAATTATTCACTGTTAACTGTCCCTATAACGCAAATTAACAGATCCTTTATCACACCTCTTTTGATGCTTTTCCACTTATGTAAGCTGCAAGTACTGTATAATCCATGGCTTGATTGTCTACTTGATAAATAACTTTGTAGTTCCCTGAGAATTAAGAAGCCAAATGCAAATATTCAAAGGCATATTTTATCCAAATTATTCCATATAAGGAAAGGAAATGCATGGGGCCTAGGTGTGTCGAGCTTGTATTTAATTATATTATAATTTGTATTTTTGCCAAGTTTGAAGAGCAATGTGAACGTTCTACATCTCATGTTGTGTTCCACAGAAGAAAGACATCTAGGTTTGGAAAGGTGTAAAGATGTGTAAATGATGATAGAATGTTTGAAAGGTGAAATATTCGCTTTACATACTTGACTCAATTTTAAATGAGAAATGTCTCAAATGATTGCATAACTTTCATGTTTAACGTTTTTGTTTTTTCAAGGAATTCATACATTTTTAATAAAACAAATTGAAACAAAATACAAAAAATTATACTATGATGTGAACCCCTAAAGGTTCAACTGTATTTATGAAGTGCCTGAAAGAACACTTTAAACGCACATTATGTAACTTTTGGCCTCCAGGGGTCACTCAATCAAAATAATAACAAAAGACGTACTTTGATGACGTCGGGAAAGAGCGTGAGCTCATGGGAGTTGTTGTCGTTGTCATTGTCGATGACAACCAGCCATCTAGGATTTCCAGCAGATAACATGTGCACTGATGAGGTAATGTGTTGTTATTTATATTATATCTCTATTCTTTTTAAGTTTAGTTATGGCAATTCACTTTTTGTAATGCCATTGTAATGAACACGCGCGCTCTGTCGCTCCCCACATTCCTCACTCATTCTAACTTAGTGTTTTTAAAATCACGTCAATTTTACATCGAACGGAGCGATATATGAATTATCAGGGCTATTAAATCAATATTCAATTTATCTAGTATTAATAGATGTTAAAAACACGGTCACCTTTCGTTACTAATTATACTTACGTTTATATTATGATATTGAAAAAGATAGTGAACTGCATATGAAGCTACTTTCTGCAGCTATATCTAGAAAAAAATGTGAATTTACATTATACTATGAGAGCTAGTCCGTCTGCGTTTTACACATGCCATCATCGTTTCACAACATATAGGCCTACTGTAAGTTATGGATAGATATAGTTGGCTGAATGGGTGCTTATACTTGTTTATTAGAATGCAAGCGAGATCGGCATCTCTCTGTAGTTCCAGCTCGTCACGAAGCTCTTGAAAATGCAACTCCAATGTTCACGCGAGTCATGTCTCTTCTCCTGTCCTAAAACCTTCTCGGGTCATTTCTCTCATCTGTGCGTTTCCGCTTCACGGATCTGCCTCCAGCAGCAAAACGTGCAGGCAAAGCATAATCATGGTCCATTATTGGTATCCAACTATTGATTCTTTATCGTCTTCTTTTATTTTAGTGACGGGCGCCGCATCCGGTGTTCTTTGTGTTTGGCGGTTTTTCGCCGGGATACGCAGGAAGTTAGAGAAACTAGAGGAGTCAAAGGTTAAATGACGTCATAGACGGGCGACAAAACGGAAATAAAGAAACGGCCCGTGTCTTCAAATTAAAATATACATTTCTCCGGATTTAAAAGTTGGTGGAAACTTTCAGGATAATGTAAATACACAACTAAAAGAAATATATAACACAAATTATTTTTGCTATTTTGAAAGCCGAAAAGTTACATATTGTGCCTTTAACCCTGTAAGACCCGTGGTTGTAAAATTACAACATCACTTTTAGGTTGTAACAGACACCTGTCAGTTACTTTTTTTAACTGCCAATACACTCTGTAGTGGCTATTTGTCCATAAACTTAAACAAAACAAAAGAAAAACAATAAACTTCTCAAATGGCCACTTGAGGCTACGTCATAGTTTGGCTTTACGCAGGTTCAGAGGTACCAAAGCAAAATGTCCATACCAGGATTGAGTTTGAGGAGGTTTATTCACACAGTCCAAGCAAGCTCACAGACATTTCTGCTGCCTCTCTCACGCTGGTAAAAAACCATATGCCCTCGTGCCTAACGTACTTCCCACCTTGACCTACTTATGCAAATGAACGCAACACCACGTGACCAATAAACGAAAATACACGTAAAGCATAAATGCAAAATAAACCAAATTAACTTTAACAAGAAAAGAAAAGAAATAAATTAGACTATAAAGTAACTTAAACCCAAAATAAACAAAAAATAAAAATATAGCTCCAACAACCCAGCCCCTAATTGTGACGGTACTTTACCCACAATTAACTTTAGCTTTAACGCAAATGAGCTATATTCTAATTGTAGCTTAAACATTAAACTGGAATCTTCACACCTCCGGATTCTCCATATCTGAAAGAAACAAACAGATTGAAGATAGAAATAGAAGAAAGAATGAGTTGTATAGTCAATTATTAGCCTCCAAGAGAAGACAGAGCTTGGTTATTGGTCTGTCCAGGATGCTGGTCTTCGTTTGGACCTTCACAGAACGAACCAGTCCTCTGGAGTCAGCTGTAGTGCTTAGAACTCTGCCCATCATCCATGAGCCTCTTGGAGCTGTGGCATCAGCGATTACGACAATATCTCCTGGATTAAAGTTTCTCCTTCGCTTCGTCCATTTTTGCCTTTCTTGCATTACAAGCAAATACTCTGCTGTCCACCTTTTCCAAAAAAGCTCCGCAATGTACTGCACCTGCCTCCATCTCCTCTTAATGTACAGATCAGATTTCTCGAAAAGACCTAATGGCAGAATGGGCTTGCCCTTTAACAGGAGAATGTGATTTGGGGTAAGTGCTTCTAAATCATTGGGATCTTCTGAGGCCTTAATTATTGGTCGGTCATTGAGTATGGCTTCCACCTCACAAAACAGCGTTTGCAGGCCTTCTTCGTCCAGCAGTTGATGTCCAACGACAGAGGTAAGTACACTGCGCACAGAGCGAATCAGACGCTCCCAAACGCCACCTTGGTGAGATGCAGCTGGGGTGTTAAAACTCCACGTCATTCCTTCCTGCACAAAGGTCCTTTCAATTTTAGAGTGATTTAAAGCGGCCAATGCCTGCCTCAATTCCTTCTTCGCACCAACGAAATTTGTGCCATTGTCTGACCTTATACTTGTCACAGGTCCTCTTCTGCAGATAAATCTTCGCACAGCATTGATGCAGGAGTCTGTGTCGAGGGAGTGCGCCACCTCAAGGTGTACTGCACGGCTACTCATACAGGTAAATATCACTCCATATCGCTTCAGCACAGTTCTACCTCTCCTCACCTCCAATGGTCCAAAATAGTCCACTCCCGCATTCGTAAAGGGTGCGTTATCAGGCACAACTCGTTCCTCCGGTAAGTCAGACATCTTCTGTTCTCCAAGTTTTCCTCTGTATCTTCTACACACTGTACATTGTGAGAGAATCTTCCTGGCTGCAGAGTTGGCATTTATGATCCAATACTTCTGTCTCAATCTGTTCAGCATGTGATTGCGTCCAGCATGTCCAAGTTGGTAATGGATGTGACGCAATATGAGCTGAGAAACATGCAAATCCTTTGACAGGATCACAGGATGCTTTACCTCCCACGGCAGTGCAGATTTAAACAGACGTCCACCAACTCTGAGGATGCCATCTTCAATGAAGGGGTCAAGGCGATAAAGAGGACTATCTTTGAAAACAGTCTTTGGGTCATGTTTTAGTGAGGAAATTTCAGTACTGAATCTTTGGTTTTGTGCAAACTGAATTATTGCCTTTTCGGCTTCCTCCAAGCGCTCTGGTGTCAAGCTGGATCTTCCAAGTGCGGCTTTGAATTTTTTAATTTCCTTTTCCACATTCTCATTCTGGTTGACCACATGTTCTTTTCTCTTTCGGCTCAAAAGTAAAAGTCTTTCTTTCAGCTCCAACAGCCAGGCTACCGATGTTTTAAGCTTTCTCCAGGATGAAAAATAGTGAATGAGCTGACTGAGGGGATTGTCACTGTGTATTGTAACAACATTCACCTTAAGTTCCCTTTTCACCTCTGCATCGTCAGATGGAATGGAAGAGGAGTCCAAGTCGAGTTTCGGCCACCTGGTGGGGGGCAAGTGCAAAAAGTCTGGTCCTTTTAGCCATTTTCCTTTCCCAAACTCCTGAGCTCTCAGTCCTCGAGAAGCTTCATCTGCAGGGTTGTCTTTGGTGTTTACATACCTCCACTGATCTTTGTCTGAGGATTCTCTTATGGTGCTGACACGATTGGCAACATATGTGTGAAAGCGCTTTGTTTCATTAAAGATGTACTTGAGAACGGTAGTGCTATCGGTCCAAAAGAATGACCTTCGCAATGGCAACTGTAGCTCTTTCAACAGCATTGTATTCACTCGAACAGCAAGCACAGCTGCAGCAAGCTCGAGGCGTGGAATGGTTAGTTGCTTTAGAGGAGCGACACGAGCCTTGCCTGTGATGAATGAAACATGCACGTTGTCAGTATTCTCCAATCTCAAGTATGAAACAATGCCGTATCCTGTTTGACTAGCATCTGAAAAATGATGAAGTTCTGCTTTCACTTGTGTTCCAAAGTTTTTGGGTTTAATACACCGTTCCACTTTAAATCCACTCATATGCTGAAGTTCAGAGAGCCACTCAGACCAATGTTCGGAAACCTCACGGGGAACTGGCTCATCCCATTTAAAGTTCATTCTGCACAGCTCCTGTAACAGTAACTTGGCAGGGATTATGAAAGGAGACAGAAAACCCAGCGGGTCATAAAGAGAGCTCACCACAGAAAGGATGCCCCTCCTAGTGTGTGGACGTTCCTGCACTGCAGTCCTGAAGCTGAACGTATCGCCTTGAACACACCATTGCATCCCCAGAGCTCTTTCCACAGGGAGTTGGTCCCTGTCCAAATCCATGTTCTCCAAACCCACTGCTCTGATTTTACTAGGAATACGTGCAAACACATTTGAGTTATTTGTGACCCACTTTTGGAGATGGAAGCCGCCCCTTTTACAGAGAGATGTTAATTCATGTATGAGCTTCACTGCATCTTCCTCTGTCACAGTGGACTTAAGACAATCATCCACATAGAAATTTGTCTTGACTGTACAAAGGACATCGGGTGAATATTGCAGTGCATTATCCTCAGCAGTTCTCCTCAGTGCATAGTTTGAGCAGCTTGGAGAAGATACAGCTCCAAACAAATGCACGCACATCCTGTATTCCTCTGGCTCCGCTGTAGCGTCTCCATTGGGCCACCATAAAAAGCGCAAGAAGTTAACATGCTTATATGGAACCCGGACCTGATGGAACATGGCGTTGATATCAGCCATAACAGCGATGGGCTCTTCTCTAAACCGAAGGAGAACACCAATTAGCGTGTTAGTGAAGTCTGGGCCCTGCAGGAGTTGACTGTTCAATGATGTACCTTTGTAAGTACAGCCGCAATCAAACACAACACGCAACTTTCCTTTGGTTGGATGATGTACACCATGGTGGGGAATGTACCATACCTTTCCTTGTTCCAGAATGGGCTCATTGGTGGGAACCTTTTCTGCATATCCTTGCTCTAACATGTTGTTAAGGAAATCAACGTATTGAGCCTTGAATGACATATCTCTATTGAATCTCCTCTTCAGGCCTTGGAGTCTTTGTAGCGCAACGCAGCGATTGTTTGGCAGAACAGGATCATCAACTCTGAAAGGTAAGTCAATGTAATAATGTTCTTTGTTAAGCACTGTCGTACTCTCCACTATTTTCATGAATCTAATGTCTTCTCTTGACATCTCAAGTTGTTCATCACTTGTTCTTTCATTAAAGTCATGATTATACTGTTGCATCAACATACTCTCCAAGTGTTCCACAGATATGTGATTAGCAGTTACAACAATGCATCCTGATTTAACACCAGTACCTTCAGAGTCTCCAGCACGAAGAGGCCCATTTATGACCCAGCCAACTCTGGTCCTCACTGCATACGGTCCACCACATTGACTGTTTATCAGTTCCCATGGCTCCAAAACTTTAGGAGAGTCGGTTCCAATGAGCAAGTCTACATCTGCATCTACTTCATGTAGCCTAATGCTGCTCAAATACGCCCATTTGGCAACATCATCCTGACATGGCACATTGACTTTAGATACAGGCATTTTTGTTTGTGTCAGAACAGATGGTAGCTCAATAAAGTCATCGGTGTCAAATCCAGACACCTCCAGACCGGTTACTATAGTAGTGTTAATGGTTTTAGTCTGCCCCATTGTCCTTAACACTACGTTACAGTTTTTTCCGGATACTCCCAGCCTTTCAGCCAAACTTGTAGTGCAGAAGGTACCAGAGCTCCCGGGATCCAGGAAAGCATAAGTATGCACAACTTTATTACTTTTCTGACCCTTCACCTTCACAGCCACAATGGAAAAAACAGCAGTATCCTCTTCACCAGCCCCAATATGACCACACGTCTGCTGCTTCCCAGACACAGTACTCCCAGTTTCTTTGGAGGTTATCCTTGTAGTGTCCTCCTTCTCCACATGCAGGACAGATGGGTGCTTCCTGTAACACACTTCACAATCCAAGCGACTCCTACAGTCTTTGCTTGTGTGTCCATGTTTCAAGCACCCAAAACAAACGCCCTTCTCCTTTAGAAACTGCATCTTGTCTTGTTGTGTCTTTCTTCTAAACTGAAAGCATTTTTCCAGAGTGTGATTGGTAAGAGAGCAGAACATACATTTGAGCTGGTGACCGTGAGCTGTCAAATTTTCCATTTCTTTATATCCATCCTTTGGTACATTAATACTGGTGGCAAATGTACCACTTTTCCTTTTCTGCTTAACTTGCATGGATAGCTTTGTATAACTGGCTGGAGAAACATCATTAATACTTCCGAACAGAGGATCTGAAACAATTTTGACTTGTTTTTCAATGAAATTCACAAAATCAACAAACACTGCTCTGCTTCCAGTTTGTTCCAGTATATCACATGCCACATTTCTCCACTTTTCCCTCAGCTTGTATGGGAGTTTCATTAAGATCGTCCTGAGATTAGCTGGCATGTCCAACTCCTTCATATACTTTATATGATGTACTATATTGGAGCAACCTCGAAGGAACAAAGCAAATGACTGCAAAGCATTAACATCCTCAGGTTTTATTGAGGGCCAGTTGTTGATTTTGTCCATGTAAGCAGAAGAGATTGTATGTTCACTGCCAAAATGTTCAATCAAAAGCGTTTTTGCTCTTTGATAACCTGGTTCAGGGGCCATATGCTGACAACTTCTTACAATGTCTCTTGGTTGCCCCCTAGTGTACTGTTCTAGAAAGTACAGACAATCACTGAAATTTTGAGTTTTATCCTCGATGCAATTTTCAAAGGCTCTGAGAAAAGATTTAAAATACAGGGGATCACCATCAAATACAGGTATATTTCTCATAGGCAGAGCAGAGGCTGTGTTTTGTTGGACCAACAGTGCAGTTATTTCATTTTGACGCTGCATGATGTTCAAAATGTCAGGAGAATTGATGGATTGTTTGTCACAAACATCTTGCAAACCCAGTGATTGGGTACCTTGCCCTTGAAACACAGGAATGACAGTAGGTCTGGGTAGTTGTTTTACAACATGTTTGGGTTGGACACCAACAGGGATAGAATTCAACAAGGGACTGGAGGTAGGTTCAGAGCTTTTATTGGTGGGCACATAGCATTCAGCATTCGAATTTAGTTCATATGTCCCTTGAATTTCTGACCTTTTCAAGTAAGAATTCATACCATCTGATATTTGAGATGCACATTTTGACACTTTGGAGCCACACTTTGAGCTTACTTCCAGAACCTCCAATTTTGCATTAGTCACCTTTAATTCTGCCTCCAGAGCAAGTTGTTCCTTTTCTCTCCTTAAATTTTCCCGTTTCTTCCGTAAGTCCTCTTGTTCAAGTCGTATTCGTTCCTCCTGATCCTCCAAAATATGTCTTCGCTTTAGAGCAGCCATGCGCTCCTGTAATGCTGCTCTTTCTGCTTGAGCTAATATTTTTGCAGATGCACTGGATGAAATCTTTGACAGTTTAGAACCAGCCTTTGAATGCGTTGCAGAACCTTTATTGGATACACTGTCCTCAGGCCCAATATCAGTTGGATTATCAGGTGGTTTAATTGGAAGTTCATATGAATGGCCTGTGTTTGATAACCAACCTTTGACGTCATCAATAAAGCTTAAAAAACACTTCTCCTTTTGTTCAAAATTTTTATCTTGTTTCTCCTTCTCATCCTGTGGTATGTCCAGTGACACAAACGACAAATGATGTTGTTTTGCCTCATCAACACATATTATTATTTGATCCAAAAGGGACTTGACTGCATCAATATTGTCTGCAGAATGCATCAACTTATCCATCTGATTCATGTACGATTTGGCTCGTCTACATAACGCCGATCTTTTTTCCTGACACGTTTGCATAAAAAACATCATTCCTTTAGCGGTAAAACTTGTGCGTCTTCTTGTAGGAAACGCCGTGTCGCTTTTGGCTTTAGATGAAACGTCAGACATTTTTCCCTTTGTTGATGTCGGTCAAGTACACACAGTTGTTTGCGGAGCTTGAATAAAGCACATACCTTGTGGAACTTTGTTTGTTGCGGTGGTTGCCTTTGTGCACGGAGTCGAATAAACGCAGTAGCTGTTGTTATACGCGGCCGTGCGCGTCACATGTGAAGGCTTGAGCTTTCGTTTATTCCAATTGCAGCAGTAACGTTAATATCCTCCGCTCCGTAGTGCAGATCCAGCCCACGCCTCTGTCACTCCTAAGCCTTTTGTTTGGCTCACTCATCCAGGTGAGTAATCCACTTTCCAAACGGTAACGTTAATCCAGCAAACGACGAAAGTCCAGTATCCAGTCAACAATATATCCAGGGCGGGTTTTTTACTTATTGTAGTGGCTATTTGTCCATAAACTTAAACAAAACAAAAGAAAAACAATAAACTTCTCAAATGGCCACTTGAGGCTACGTCATAGTTTGGCTTTACGCAGGTTCAGAGGTACCAAAGCAAAATGTCCATACCAGGATTGAGTTTGAGGAGGTTTATTCACACAGTCCAAGCAAGCTCACAGACATTTCTGCTGCCTCTCTCACGCTGGTAAAAAACCATATGCCCTCGTGCCTAACGTACTTCCCACCTTGACCTACTTATGCAAATGAACGCAACACCACGTGACCAATAAACGAAAATACACGTAAAGCATAAATGCAAAATAAACCAAATTAACTTTAACAAGAAAAGAAAAGAAATAAATTAGACTATAAAGTAACTTAAACCCAAAATAAACAAAAAATAAAAATATAGCTCCAACACACTCCTCACCACTAGGGGTATTAATGAGACCTTAGATGTGCTTAGATAAAGAGACAGGTAAGTGGAAGAAATTATCATGGCTGACCTCCTCTGTCAAACAGCCGTTTCTCAATATGCGTACTTGTCTGTACTTGTGTTCTTGTGGACTTGTGAAACGTCATCAGTCGCTGCCCAAGTACTGTTCCAATTAAAAGTTCACATCTAGCCAAGTCCACTTCAAATCCCCGGATGTGTTCGTGATCCGCCCCGTTTACCGAGGATGCATCGAGAGGTGACTTGTGTGGACTTGAGATAGCCAGGTAACCCAGAATGCACCTCGCACCAACCAGCAAGCGTCAATGGGAGAGGAGAAAATACTCGAAATATCAAAATACTACTTTTATTGAGTCATGAAATGTAATTTTAAGAGTGTTTCAGGCAAGAATGTGGTAGTTTAAATCTCAAATCTGTAGATAATTAACAGGAGGCATTTTGTGTTTTGTAGAAGGACTTTTCAGTATGTGCTGAATAGGTAATTATTTGGGCCAACTTTGTGGTCCTGTTTGGGATTGACCCACATTTGAGTACTACTACAAGGCTCATGGTTGGATATAGCTTCATTTGACTGTTGGTTTACCATTTATGGACTTCCTTTCCTGACGGGAGGGCAATATGTTGGACTACGGTCATCGTTGGATTTCATTTACCAACAAGCCTCCACATCAGTTTGACTCCTTAAAGACAGTTAAGGCTTGCATCTAACTTTGATAATTCACAATATTTAATGTGTTCTCTGTTATAATTTTCAGTTTAGATCAGATTTGAATAATTTTAAATGAATAAAGTATTTATGTTAGCCTTTTTATTTTTTTATAGGCTTTTTTTCTTTTTGCCCAAATATCTGCTTGTAGCAAGGCAGACGGTGTTTGTAGACTACTGTGGAGGATGGTTATTCAAGGTGTGGATGTTCAGACATAGGGGGTTGCATGGTCCATTGCTCAGGGACAGGTGTTAATGTTCTGGAATGTGGGGATATAAAAGGTTTGGGGGTTTGTATATTCCTTTTAGAATTGTGTGACTTCAGTAGGGCTGGGACGGTATGGATTTTTTTAATCACTCTTGAAAAGCAAGAAATAGCCTATCCGAGCATCTCTAATACATAATATTATTATGTGTCATCGGCTCCCCAACTCGTGAAAGGTCGGATCTGCTCCATCTTTTGATAAGTTTTGGTTAGACAAGCTTGAATCCATGTAAGGCACAATGTCATTAGACAATCCAGTCATTAGACACAACGTTCACACATGGGCAGGCCAATGTTTTTTTTTTTTTTTT